ACGGGATCGTGTCCTCTTATCAGGGGTTTATGGGCCAACGGAAGCCGTCTCCTTTTCTCTAGCGCCCGTTAGGAAGAAAGAGCCGTGAGCCTCCAGCCGTATATCAATCGGTCGTGATTGGTTTCAGAAAATAACTCAACCGCGTTATTCTCGGCGGCATGCCAAGGACATGTGCTCGTTCCAGCCGGAATTACACAATTGCAAGACGCACCGATAGTTATCGGAAGAAGCCTCCACCGGCTCGCTAATGTCCACCGTATCGTTGCCGATAACGTTGATAGCGTTGATGGCACTGCTACTCGGGCGCCTACCGAGCGCGCAATTACCGTCTTGCGTGCGTATTTCGTACGATAATAACGACCCTCGGCCGCGATGATGGAGACTTAACGCACCTGAGCCTGCCGCCTCCGATCGCGTTTGAATTTACCGCTCTTGCGGCCCAGCGTCCCTAACCTGATTTTATAAAAGAATGCGATAAGAATTCGAGACAAAATAATTCTTGCAACTAGCTGTTAACATATTGCGTTTCATATATATATGTATATTTTTTTGATAATTCTTTATATATCGTCGTTATATACAAGTATACTTAATGCTGCACACCCTGTAGGTTCCGTTGAATGGGCATTATGCAACCGACGTATCGCGAGTTGGATATTCCGTTGGCAACTTGGTACTTATACACCTCGACATGCGGTAAACGGCTCTTTTGTGGATGGTCGACACGCCGCCACTCACCGTCTCGTTCTACGAGAGCAGCGACTACTTTCGCGCGCGTCCGCCGCGACTGGCGGCGCCATCTCTCGGACGCCCCGCGAACCCTGTCATCAAGTCCGGTATTATCGACAACAGTAGACAGATTTTGTATTTAAATCATAGGAATTTTATTTGTTGAAACTCGGAGTGCCATTCCGTGATTGGCATCCAACGGAATCTCGGATTAATTAGCCGATGTGGGCGGGAGTATCGTAATTCCAGAAATTATTTTTTTCTATTCGTCGGCGCCCGAAGAGATAGAGGTACTGTTGACGAATGGACGTGTCTCGATTGTCGAGATTTGCTGGAAAAAGAGTAATCGAGTCCTACTCGCGATATGGCGTGTTCTCAGGCATTTACGTTAGCCCTGGGCTGATTTACGAGGCTAAACTATCTCTCGCGGAATCCCGTTTTCCTCGAAAAGGCGGAGCTTTTCAAAGGAACTCCCGACCAGCCATTCGCTCCGTTCGACGCAGTCATACGAGCTTACGACATCGCTCGACATTGCGATCGCTACTCATCGTTACTAGCTAAAATCCCCCGTGAAAAATCGAGTACCTAATTATCTCCCTTAACCCTTTGACTTGCAGAATCCGGGCATGCCGAAAGGGTGAGTAAGGCCCGGCGAAAATAGACCGGGCAGTTCGGACACGGAATCCCGAAATAAACGGGAATTCATCTATCGGCTATTTATTGGCAGAGCATACATATACGGAGGATCTCCTGCGACACCTCATTAAAATATTTAGAAACACCTCCGAGACTCGATGCAAATCAAACGGAGGAATAATTTCGAAATTCGGTGGTGCACCGGTTGGGACTTTTTAAGGGGTCGTCGACCCGCTGCTATAAATCTCCGAGTATTAGGCCACGACGCGTTTCGAAATAATTTCAGCGGATTTTTCGATGTTGTGTAAGACCTGTCGAAAATAGACGGGATAGCGGATACAGCCCCAAAATACCTGGAGAAACAAAGGACGTTCCAAGAGAGACCATTTCGGGCTTGGTGCGATCGGTCTCGATTCTTCTCGTTACAGGGGCAATGTACATCCATAAATTCAGAGGAGCAAGAAAGGAATTAAATCCAGGATGGAAATGAACGATTGAACTCGCCTTTTTACTTCGATAGACGCAGCAGTGCATGTTGCCCATGATTCTCGGCTCGGGACCTCCGGAAGTGCAGATCGTGATGCACTTCGAGGGTCGGCTATGCAGCACCTTGCAATTTCTTATTCGAACGAAAGCACACCATCGTCGGCTATAGTCCAGGGAAGGAAAAGCCTCGCTCGGTTGAATTTCTTAAGCGGAAACGAGCTCTGAGAATTGTCCGAATCCGGTCTCGTCTCCGCGGCGGTGATTCGAGGAGATTATTAATCCGGAGTGATAATCTCGACATGGCTCCTCCACGTAGTCTCTCGTCTCCAACTTTGGATGCAGCGGTTACGAAGTACGGTGTTTCATCGCACTTGAAGACCACTTAATAAGTTATCACGCACGACCCACTGATGATTCACGGAAGTCTCGATAAAGCACTCGACGTGTTAGAACACTGTGGAATTTATCCGTAATCGTTCTTGGGGTATTAGCGTCTCGTCCACGAGGGGCAACGCTAACGAAGGCCGATCCATACCTCCTTCGCCGATTCTACGATGCATTAACCCCACCCAATTATCGCAATAATTAATAAATTATCTTAGTAATTAATTCATTGTCAGAGATACGGAACTCGGGGTAACGATCCCGCGAATCGTCCCCCTAATCAGGGTTCTTCCTCGACGACCGAGCAATTCCTCTGCTGACATCCAATAACCGTTCACCACTTCCCCGGCAAATTGAAAGATTTCACTAGACTGAACTGCACGACGTAGCTCGACTTTCCGATTGCCATAGTGCTTCGCATGATTCCACGACGGTACACCAATGAGTTTCGATAAACGCGTGTCCTGACTTTTAGTCGACTGAGTTCCAGTACCCCTTTCCAGGCCCACGTGTTCCGAGGCACTTGATTAATAATTTAGATCTAGCGTTCCAAATCGCCACCCTTGTTGAGCCTCTTGTTGTCGCCTCTACTATCTCGCGTATGCATGGCACCGATAACACCGAGATCGGCGCGTCACCGTTCTATTTTCCAGCAATCACGTCAGCGCACTAGCTCGGCCCAGGTGAAGAGCGGCGCGCCTTGGTTTTCGGAGTTTTCCCGGGACGTGGTGGTCGGAACTCGAAGAGGCGATCTCGATGGGAATCTTCAGGGGATGCCGAGACCGATACGTCGGCTGATCGAGACGAACACCCGGGAAAAAGTCGCGAGGCTTCTCTTGGAGCGGACTCGGCCACTCTGTCCTCGGCTCGGCACGTGGTATGCCGTCGTCCGTGAGCGTGGCTCGCGTCATCTTCGTCATCGAGCTTCGAGCCGCCGGCCGAATGCTAAATAAACCCGTAATCCCCCTTTCATCGAGCAGACCGAGCCGCTAAAAAAATAAGTGATTTTTTTAATCAATATCGAGCGGACCCAACGGCTAAAAAAATAAGAAATTTTCTTAATCAATGAAAAGGAAAGGAAAGAAATGAAACGGCATAAAATAATAAATTGTCAGTTATCGTAGTTATCGAGTGATATGCCGACAAACAATAAATAAACCCCCGCTTCATCAAAAGGACTTTTCCGTCAGTACGCTTGAAAAATGTACCAAAAAAGGAGACAAAACAACGTAAGGTACAAATCTTCTCCTATAGTAATGCACATGTAAGTGATTATAAAAAATTACTTTGATTTCATGCATTTTCGCCCGAAATATGTAACATTCACGGTGGTTGTATCTCTTGCAATGGGTTCCTGGTACTGCTGAGAGGGTCGCCTGAAATTGAAAAATCAACAGTTCTCTTAAAATATATGTGAACGGGAACGTAAACAATTTTTTTTCTTAATGTAAGAAAACAATTCGACGATTTTTAACGCACGTTTAAATAGAATGTTTCTGAAAAACATTTGTTTTTGGGCGTTGAAACGTTGCGTGCGGCTAGTGGAGTTTTATCATAATCACGACACGTAGGTCCAGGCGATTCTTACCTTTATTCAGAGAGAACGTCCAGCAAAATGTTGCGCAAAAAGGAATCCCAAGCTTACCGAGAACATTTGTCATCGCGAAAGGTGGACACCCAGCTACCGTGCGTGATTTTCTTCAGCCTGCGAAGAAGAGACTTGGGTGGATGTGTTGGTAAGTTGCGAAATATGAATTTACGTAGCCGATTAGCATACGGTACGTTGGTATGGCTCGCATCACCATCCATCGAGTCATTGGCCGAATGCAGAATTAACCGAACGGTGGACACTTTTGAGTTCCTTCGCCGGTACAATTTGAAATCTCCGAATTCTTCCGGATTTCTCCGATTTTAAGAATCGACGAGTGTCCGCCCACGTGCAATTCACTTCCTCTAGTTATTAATCAGCATTGCAAACAGTTCCATTAGAAGCCATTATTTAGCCGACCGTTCTTATCAGAGCACGGTGTCTCTTAACCGTCTAACTTATGGCGTCCGACAGGCACGCGATTAGCCTAATTCACCGTGCAATTTCTACAAGAAAATTGCCTGAAACGGTGTTCCCGGATCGCGCGATGATCGCATAGATAGTTTCATTCTTCCCATTGAGAAGATCAATCCACCAAGGCTTAACATAAAAAATAATTCAATTGAGCGTATCCACATTTGCGACGAATCTTGCTCTACCGGTACCATTCGGCAACGGCTCATTACCATACAGAGTTCCCGTGAACTATGAATTCACTTTCTAAACGCTTCCTCCGTCCCCGGTAACGCCAATTTACCGTTTTGCCACAAAAACAACAGTTTGAATCGAGCGCCGATCACGTGACCCAAAGTTACCTATCGATCCAAGATGGCGGACGCGCGCATCGCTCAAAGGGGTTAAACCCCTCCAAGATGCGATCATATTCGATTCTGCCCAATGCCTAGCAAGGCATTCTCCTTTCTTATCTTATCTCCTTATCCCCTCGCAACTGAATCCAATAAAAACATCCTTAATCTCGAGCCGACTCCTGGCGCCATCTCGAGAAATTCCCGGTAACCACGTAAAGTGGACTCTTCGCTCTTCTGTCTGCATTACCGACGACGCGCGCCCTCTGGGCACGATCGCACGGCACAGCCGTAACGCGCAGCGCCACCGTCGCCTGCCGGTCGCCGCGCTCCCGCTCCATGGCCCTGCTCAGTCCGCTCCGGGCCGTCGAGCGCTGTACGTCGTGACTTCGCCTCTCCCGTCGATCCCGTCGAGTGCACACTCCGCCAGTACGCGACCGTCCGCCCCGCCTCGCAGTGCCGCGCAGTTCGCGAGTGCGCCTTCCCGTGCCGGTCGGGGAATATCAGTGGTCCCGCGATGGACGTCCCGATACCTGTTGCACGCCCCGGCGGCCTGCGGAGGGCCGCGGCGCCGAGTCCGTGAGCGCCGGATGCGACGATTCTAGCGTGCCTGGCTAGTGGTCCGATGCGCGTCCCGGCCGCCCCGAGGACGAGGGCGAGTCGGCTCGGCTGACGTCTCGACGCGCCTCCCCAGGCGCTTCTGCTGCCTCTCGTGGCATGGCCGCGTGTCGGCAAGCCGCGCGTGCCCGCGCCTCGTGGTGCGCCCCGGTGTAGCGTGCCGCGGAGCGGACGCCACCCAGACCCGGGACTATGGGGATCGTGCAGAGCCGCGGCGACGCCGGCGAGGCGGCGGCGGTGGCCGCGCGCGAGGCCCTCGCCGGGCCGAAGGCCGCGCACCGGCAACACTGCATCGGCCCGGGCCCCGGACCCAACCCTGGCCCCAACCCCGCGCCCAACTCCGCGGCCATCGGACTGGCCGGGCCGCACGCCCGCACCGGCAGCGTGCGCGCCGCGCCCAGGCAACCCATGCCCGACGCCCTGGAGCTCGAGAGGCGTTTCACCAAAGTCCTGGTAAGTGACCATGACCTTTCTCAAAACCGTTCCGAGCCCGTCTAGGGCCGTCGACAATCGTCTAGGATAGGTCAATCCCGAGTGCCGGTCGACGCGAAGCCGAGATGGAAAGTGCAATATACGGCAGCGAGCCGTTCCCTCCTCGCGGCGGTTTCACTTTTTCCCGGCCACGTGATATCGACTCCACGTTCTCTAGGCAAGGATTAGGACGAATTTCGTGGTGCTCGGGGAACGTGGGTAGATTCAACTCGGAGTATGTTAGCGATTGGAATATTTAAGGCGATCGGTCCACGGCGAGGAGAGTCAAAGGAGAGACAATGAATGCCTTGAGCCATGGCCGGCCGTAGCCCGGCATAGTCTCTGCCCTGTCCCAATGGCCTCTGCAGTATGCGCCTCCTCCCTCCCTCCCTCTCTCTCTCGTTCCTCCCCGCCCGATCTGCGTCATCCTCGGTCTCGTGCGCGTTCGATTCCACCCAATAATTCGATGAATCCGATGCATCCGATGAATCCTATGCCTCGTCAATGTGCCCTCTGTCTGCACTTGCTTGCGCCTGAATGAGAAGAAGAAAAAAAAAAAAAATTGAATCTCGCGAGAAATGTTGCAGGCGAGCGGCATCTATTTGCTCGGCTCGTCGATCGGGCTTTTTCGGTTTTATGCACCGCGCTCTGAGCGATCGAATCGAGCCTCGGTTTTATAAATAGTCTCGTACGTGGTCTCGAGTGCACAGCGTCGCACCGAGCACGTGCGAGGACGGGCACGTAAATAACGGAGGGACCGCGATGACGAATGGAACAACAGGATATACGTGCCTCTCTTCCTGTACCGAGGGTGCCGGTGCCGGGGTGGGCTTTCGGTATTCTTGCGTGGGGAGCCCTCCGACTTGCGGAGAAAAATAATCGGAAAGCGCCTTAACGGCCTGGAATCGGATTTACGGCGTAAAGTATTATTGGGGCGGTTTGACCTGTACGGGGTTAAGACTTTAGACGGTATGCTTCCGCTGTACGGATATTCGACATCGTTTTTCTCCAAACAGGGTGCACCGACTGATTCGAAACCTTAACACGGGATTATGGACGTCCTAACGAAGGTCTTGAAACGCAGAAAATTTCATTTTTCGAGAAAAAATTTTTTTGTTCTGTTTTTTTTTTTATTTCCGACTAGGATAAATGCACTTTATTTCACGAGAATTGAAATTTCGCCAGTTTCAAGACCTTTGTTGGGACCTCCATAATTATCTATTAAGGTTTTTAATTATTCGGGGCACCCGGTTTAGAGGCAAGATTTATAAACAATTTGACTTCTTGATATGTGTATATATATATGACTCGCGCTTTGTCGCCGAATGTAACGTTAATCCGGGGGTGGAACCCGGCCCGTGGATTCCGTAATGACGGTCGGTCGTCCGGAAAATGGTGAGTGCACTTTGCGAGCACGTACGCCCCGGTAACTCGGGGCCAAAGAGTTCTCCTCCCTTACCGGCTGTTTCTCATTTCCTCCCGAGAGGAGAGACAAGAGGAGGAGTAATCTCCGTCTCGTGACGCGAGCATTCGCGACCGGCGATGGCAAAAGTGCCGGGTTCCCTCCACTCCCCGTTTCTTCCCCCGCAATTTGACTCTTCGCCGGCTTTCACCGCATTTCCAGGGAAATGCTCCCGCCCGAAGGTGGCCGGGAATGAAAGGGGGTCGCGAGATGTCTCGGGCCTTTTGTAACGACCTCCTCGGAATTTTCCGAAAAATCGATCGCTCGGCGAAAATCGTGGGAGGCGGCCGATCGTAACGCGAACAGTAATGCCGGGTAATCGTAACGAGTCGAGGGAGAATCACGGGTGCATGAACGCCGGATTAAGTCGCGGCTGATTGGCCAGCCGACGCTTCGATGGACGTGGGAAGATTCCTCTCGGCGACTTCTCAGTGCGGCCGGAAAGCCGAGCGCCGCCTGGAAACGCTACGATTTCGCCCTATGGGGAACGCCTCGGAGGAGTGCGTCGATGCGCCGATAAAAAGACGGTCCTCGTAATAAATGACGCCTGCGGCAATACTCGAGGGGGGAGGGCTCGTAACGAATGCGGCTTCGCCCGAGGACCGGACGTGGCATCGATCGTCCGTTTCGGGAGAAACCGGGCCCGTCCCGCCCACGCGGGCCCTCCACGAGCCGAACGTGTCCGCCATTGTTGTCGCAGCGGCCCCTCGACCGCCCTGTACCTGGAAACGGGAAGGAATCATTTTTATCTTTTTTTCTTCTCTTTTTCGAGGGAAACTTCTCGCGTTAATAAAGATAGAAATAATTTTCTCAAGGATAAACATCGCATGTCACACGATTTGAACATAAGGGCGAGATTCCTTTGCGCGTACCGGCAATATTCGACCAAACCTCGGATGTGTATGTACACGCCTTTCGCAAAGAGTTAACGATCTCGCGTGGTTCTCTTCATCTCGGAGGTTCCTTCCCCCTTTTCTTTCGCTTATCGCTCGATCGAGGGGAAACTTCAAAGACGAGGTACCGTAAACTCGGCCGGTGGTAGCCCGTAACGAGCAACGTCGAAAAGTGCTCGGGGCGCACATCGGGTGCAATTTTCGCCATCTGCGCGGCCAGCCGTGCCTTTCGGGCCTTTTCGGATTATTTACGACGGTTGCGAGGGATTTCGCCGAGGCGCTAGGCCGACCGTCTCGTCGCGACGGAGGCATGAATCGAGTCGCCGGTCTAGGGAGATGGGTGAATCGCTGGTGAATAAGCGCGGCGGCGGAGGGTCACGTGACCCGGGGCTCGCTCGCGCACGAATCAAAGGTCAGCTCTCGCGCCACCCACGCGCGCCTGCGCGCTCGCGAGCCGAGCTAAGCCGGCCAATCGGAACGCCGCTCGCGGCAGTACCGTCCGAGACTCCGTCGGGGACGTTTCGACCTGATGCGGTCTGCGTTCTATAGTCATGATATTGTCACTATGTGATTACGATATGGTCATTATATAGTCATTACATGGTCACGTAGGATATATGGACTCCGAACGCCAATTTATGACGGCAGCCACACTGGGAGACGGAAAACAAGGGATGTTCTCTTTTTTTCTCTCTTTAATTCTGCAATGGCGACAGGTTGTCCCACATCGAGAAATAATCAAGAAAGGATCGCTCCTTGTTTTCTCCTCTTTTTTTCGCATCATGATCGCAATGATATCAGGGAAGCGATTGATGGGTTCGTGTACTCTACGTCCATTGACACGACGTGCGTCTCGCGACACGCGGTCGGGCCGACCACTCCGTGATAACGACTTCGGCGACGGTGACGTCGACGATAACGCGCGCCTCTCCCTCGGTCCTTTTTATCAAATAAGCCGCCTAAGCGTGGCGCAAGACCTCGGAGAAACGGCCGACTAAGGTAGCCCGAGGACGGGACTCGGATGATTCATCCCGGCGGAAGGCCCCGTGAATGGATGTTGCGATTCACCTCGTAGTACACCGGGACCGAGGGAATTCATTATTTTCTCTCTCCCTCTCGGTTCCTCGGAGACGACTCCAATATGCATAAACGCGTAAGAATGGGCTATTATTGGAAGGGACGGCGACGGGGAGAGGATGCGAATCGAGAGTCCTTCGAGCCGTCTCTGCATTCTATCGGGCCTTTATTCCGAGCAGGAACGACGGCGGGAAGTCCGACGATTTTTTTCTTACATCCCTCTCTTTAGCGGAAATTCACAGGCGTCCTTAAGGTTGCGGGGGGTCTGGAATTTTTTTTTTACCGTCAAGGACCACTCCTATCGGTTCCAAAAAATTCTGAACATAAGTACAACCCATGGTCTATTTGCGCATATTAACCCAAGCCACGTGCTTTTCGAGAACTTTAGCCCCAACGATTCGAAAGTGGACGAGTTTCCCGAGGGGAAAGGAGGCGCGTCGATGGCTTTCACGTAGCCTTAATTCCTGGTCGAGGGAATTCGCGGGCGAAGAGCCGTTCGATGCACATGCGTCATTTAACGATGCATCCGATGATGCATGTCCAGGATGGGATCGGGTTTCGCTGCCGGAGGGGCCGGGGGGGNGGGGGGGGGGGGCGAGGGGCAACGCACCGGGGAGATCGTTGCCGGGACGGGCAAAATGGAGCACTCGCGACCCGTTCGGTGTCGGGTTGCAAACAATGCGTTTATGGTAAAGCACCGCCTAATGGGTAATCCAATAGCCGAATGGCAGGCCAAGTGCAACGTGCGACGCGCACCGTGCAGGATGGCGATGGGCAAATGCAAGATCGGACCATGGTGGTCATGGTCTTGCACGGTCGAATCATGGTCTTGCAATGTCGATTTTCAATCGCGTCCTTGCAATTATGCTATCGGTCCTGGTTTTGGTCATGGTCTTGCACGGTCGATTTTTAATCGCGTCCTTGCAATTATGCTATCGGTCTTCGTCTTGCATTAATTTGCAACGACTTCGCAAAGCACACCGGTTTACGGAAAGTTCTACTCTAGTTTCGGTATGCCCGGTGACGAAATTCTGCTACCCGGGCTCTTAGAATTATCGAGGACGTCCGGTAGCCGGAGATAAGGATATCTAATCTGAAAGGATGTGACCCGGTGGTTATTTCGAGAATTTTATGGAATCTGACGTTCGATGATTCGGGGAGTGCGGGAAATGCATTGCACGCTCGGCGGGATAGGAGCACTTCGAGGGAAACGAGGGAACAGGAGAGGGAGACCTTGGATGACGAGCGTCACCTTCCGCGAAAATCCGAGAAAAAGGACATCCTACGCGGCCGTTGCTTTTTCTGGCCGCCTTGGCGAGGATGGGGATCGGAAAGTCCCCCGCGGGAAAAATCGGACGCCTTGGATAAACCGATGGACCGACCTTCGCGGTCAAGAAGGAGAACGAGAGGATGGGACCGAGAAAGGAAAATCTCGACGACTGATCGACCTTATTTTCCGCTCGAGGAATGCCCAAGGATGTGGCAGGGAAGGAGCGAAACCGCGGCAGGAAGCACGTCGAGCGATAACTACCGCGACTGCAGGAACAATG